AAAGTTGCTCTTGAAAGTCAAGTAGCTAAAGCAAAAGGAAGAAATGATGAAGTCAAAGAGCTGAACAGATTTCAAAGGGCAGCTCGAGAAGAAAAAGTAAAGTATTATAATGACGTGCATAGAGCTGGAGACAGAAAACCAAAAGAGAAGAACACACTCAGCATCTCTCAAGCTGGAAGAAGTGAAGAAAAAATTCAAGCCGCAAGTCACAATATTGAAAGATTCTAAAGGGAAAATATTAAATGATATAAGAAACATCAAAAGAAGATAGAAGGAATACACAGGGTCACTATACCAAAAAGAATTGGTCGATGTTCAACCATTTCAGGAGGTAGCATATGATCAGGGACCAATGGTATTGAAGGAAGAAATTCAAGCTGCACTGAAGGCATTGGCAAAAAACAATGCTCCAGGAATCGACGGAATACCAATTGAGATGTTTCAACAAATGGATGCAGCACTGGAAGTGCTCGCTTGTCTAAGCCAAGAAATTTGGAAGACAAGCTACCTGGCCAAGCAACTGGAAGAGATTCATATTTATGCCTATTCCCAAGAAGGGTGACCCAAACAAATGCAGAAATTGTCGAACAGTATCATTAATATCAGTATGACAACTCTCACAGTCAGTGGTTAATGGGTGAGAAAAGGAGATGTAATCTAATATAAGATGAGATATTCTACTTGGCCAAGGCAATGAGGAGGCCAAGAGTTGCCAGTATGTGGGAATCTATGTGTACCTCAGTAGAAAAGCTTGGTAATTTTCTTCTGAAAAATCAGCCACTGAAAACCTACGGAGCACAGTTCTACTCTGACACACATGGGGTAGCCATGAGTCGGAATAGACTCCGGGGCATCTGCTTTATGTGTACTGGTCAAGCATCAGGTAAGCTGTCAGCATTCATTCTCTCATTCACTGCAGGAGAATATACTACAGAGAGTGGTACTTTCTGTGTCTCAATTTCTCCTTTATAATGAGAGTATGAGATGATATATATATACAGCACTTAGAACAATGCTTTGCCCATACTGTGGACTCAATAAATGCTGGATATCATTACTAGTCGACAAGTAATTATTGAGGCCCTGGTATGTGATGGGAGCCCTGGTGGTGCAGTGGTTAAGAGTTCAGCAGCTAACCAAAAGGTCAGGATTTTGAATCCACCAGCTGCTCCTTGGAAACCCTATGGGGCAGTTCTACTCTGTCCTATAGGGTTGCTATGAGTTGGAATCAACTCTACGGCAATGAGGTTTTATTGGTTTTTTTGTTGCTGTTGTTGTGCTATGTGATGAGACATATTAGGGACACTAACAACAGAAGTGGTTTGATTCCTTTCGGTCTATGATGGTGACAGGCGTTATACGCATAAATTCTTGTGCAGTTTACTCTACGTGCTATAGAATGAGAACATATGCCAGGAGTATCTCAGCCACCCAGATGGGGATTTCAATAACTATGCCCTATTATTTTGTGGGGCAGATTTGACAGAGGGAGATGGGCAAGAACAAGATGAGTTGGTCCCACTAGTTCTGGTACAGGAAATAAAACAAAGATGGAGTCCCTAAGCAGAGCCAGGAACCTGAGAATTAGGCAGAAGCCTGGTGGTCAGAACCAGGCCTAAAGTCAAGGTCACCCAGCAGCAGGTTGCACATGTGACCGGGTAGAGCTGGTCCTACTGTTGGGTTGCATGGCCTCAGCAGCCAAGGAGGAGGGCTGCAGTGACTGAGAACTTAATGGGGCTCAAGACCTTCTCCCATGACAAATCCTGCAGTTTGCAGAGACTTTGGACCCTGTGGCTTAGCTCCTAAACCAGGTCATCCCTCCGGGTTGCAGGGCAACAGGAGCCTGGCAGGGAAGGCCCGGTGAACACCAGCATCAACGAGAAAGAGCATTGGGAGGAGTCTGGTTTCTTCCAAGTCTGAAGAACAATCAGACTCCTTCCTGGGCATTGCTTTCAAATCTGTTACCATCATTAGGTAACTTTACAAAGAAGGACAATTAAAAAACTAATTCGAGGTGCCTGAGCCACTCCCCAGACTGCTAGAGAGACAAAGATGAGGACGCGAACTGCATCATGGTGGGAAGGGCTGCCGCACCCACCCTCCCTGCTCGGTTATTGGCTTATCTGGTCAGTGAACCTGAGCAGGACAAGACTGTTAAGAAATGCATACTTCATGGGCGTTGCCAAAACTGGCCCTGGATTTGTATGTGGCCAGAAAAGAGAGTAGGACCCCCAGAGCAGCATCCCACCCACACCACTGTGCCTGTTGAGTGCCAAGTATAAGACTGCCCTTGGGCTTTGGGCAGCCGTGGAAAGCTCTGCAACCTCCACCAGCCATCCCGTGGAAATCCCTGCAACGAAAGCTTTTCCACCGCGCGTCAGCGGGCTTTATCATTAGTAAGGGATAAAGGGAGCACCTCAGCATTATTTCCTTGTAGAACCTGGAGTATGGAATGATAGCACGTCCTAGGACTTTGTTTTGCCAAGCAGCTGAAAGCATTTTAGAAAACTTTGATCGTTCATTTAAAAATAATTATTAACTCTTTCAGGTCATAAAAACACCACTTTAAAAAGCAAGTAATGTAGGAAATGTATCCCAGCAATCTGAAAGAGTTTAAGCTCTGGGCAAAACAGGAACAGACAGTAGGATCAGACTGCACGGGTAATTAATCCTCACGTTTGCTCTCTGATTTGACTTTGTGGCATATATTAGCGTCACCATGTTACCCATGAAGAAATAAAGCATGAAGAGATTAAATAACATGATGAAATATCATCCTAGGTCAACAGAGTAGGTGGAAAAAAGAACCCGTAATTCAGATGTCTCCATCTAGTACCGAATGCCCTCTTGCCAACCTTCAGATGTACTCAACTTCCCTTCTCACCAGTCCATTTTCTTCGCTCACCAAAGCAGCATTTTTCCTTTTTAGGTTCCTGAGCCAATTGCCAATCTCCTTGAGCACAAGTAGGCCATCCAAAAAAAAAAAAAAAAAGGATTGATTTGAATATAATTGAAACATCGTTTCCCCTCTCAACCTGCCCTTCTTTGTATCAAAGGATTTCTTAAACAAGGCAGATGCTCACAGCCAGGATTTTTTCCCCCAGAAATTACTTTGCCTTACAATACCTTATAATACATTAACTACAGCTATAGTAAAGAATGACTGGAGTGGAATTCATCAAGTGGTGAACAGAGAAAGAAAGAGAAAATGTATGAACCTAACTCGTCCCCAGTCTCCCTAAGGGCAACGGAAATAAATGATAGAACGAGTCACTGGGGCAGTCTACTCTGCTACCAAATGGCCTTACAAGCCCAAGACAGATAGGTGAGGAGAAGCAATGTGAACAGAGCCATTTTTATATCCAGAGTGTTGCATATGTGAGTTATTCCTTTATATTATGAAATATTTCAAGCACAGAAGAAAGTTCTGAGGATAACTTAAGGAACAAATCATTATGGGAAAAGTTGATACTCTGTGTGCCCTCCAACATTTCATTACTCTTCGTCTCTCTTCCTAGGCTGAATTTGATGTTCATTGTTCCAATGCATGTGTTTATGCTTTTCCTGTAAAGTAATGTATCCATAAACAATAAGTACTATTTTTAGATATTTTCAACTTCATAAAGAAATTACAACATATTGGAGACTTGGTTGTTGGGGTTTTTTGTTTGTTTGTTTTGCTTTTGCTAAACATTATATGATTTACACATTATATACATTTTGTATGATTTGAGCATTGTATTTATTTTATATGATATGAATATTACACATTTTATATATACATGCTGTATGTGTCATATATGTTTAGACAGCATATGTAGCTCTGATTTATTCATTTTAACGCTGTGTAGTGTTCCAATGTATGAATAATATATTATTTATACGTTCTGTGGCCTTACATTAAAGTTGTATGTGAGACTTTCTCTAGCTATAAACCCAGAAGATGACTTGCTATGTCATAGGGTGTGCATATTTCAACTCTACCAGATTTTGGCAATTCTTCTATAAAGTAGTTATATCATTTTTCACTCCCATCCACAGTGTGTGAGATTATCCATGTATCTACATGATTGATAACCCTTGGTATTGCCAGACTTACTAAGTTTTGCTAAACCTGTGAGTGTAAAACAGACCTTATTTTATTTTTAATTTGTTGATCTAGTTTTAATTTACTTAGACCGAATATATTTTCTATGTGTATTGACCATGAAGCTATCCTCTTCTATGAATTGCTTGTTTGTGTCCTTTATCTGTTTTTCTGTTGGATTGTTATTTTCTAAGTGATTTAGAGTATTTATTTATGCATTCAGGTACTAACCATTTGTGAATTATATATGTCACATTAATACGGCCTATTCTTAAATAAGTGATTGTATCTCTGGAGTTTGTCTTGCACAAAACTTTTAACAAGCAAGTTAAAACTAAGATACAGATATGAAAGTTGATATTCCCATCAGTTATTGGGCTCAAGGAAAACATTGTAAGTGCCACTTTTTTTTTTTTTTTTTTAATCATTTCTTTATTGTTTTTTTTTCCTCTAAGTTCAGAGAGTTAAGTATAGGCCACCTAGACTGGTACTTGGTAATATTTATGCTTGATTGTGGACTGGGTTGTTTAGAATAATTTAGGCCCTGAATACGGACCAATTAGGGGAGTGATTAACCTCAGATTGTCGGGCCTAATGGGTTGCATACCTTCCACTGAAACAGAAACTTTTGGAAGCTGAGTGTATCCTTGGCCAGGACTCCTCATAGAAGCACACAGAATTAGCCCTAGGCAGGAGACATGAGGCATGCAGGGACTATCCATCCTAACTTATCTCCAAAATGTTTTACTACCAGGAAAGTCTCTGCTCATGACATAAGTCCCTAGCCTCAGGTAACTAAAGAACACACGAGGATGAGGAGTGGAATAACATGGTAATTAGATTGCAGGGACGTAGTGTCTTGGAAATCTTGATATGAAATCTTAAAATAACTATGGCATTCTTTCTCTTTCAGAGGTGTGGCAAAATCTTGTTTGAGAACCGTGATCAGAATGCCAAATGTGTTTGCATGCTAGGTAAGAAGGCCTCTCATTTTAAATATGTTAAGCATGCTGATGTCAGATGGACTTAACAATTGTTCTGTTGCGTTACTGACTGCCTCTTGTTCCACTTTGCAGAGGCTTATGAGCTGTCTTGTAAGTCAATAGATAGCTATAGCACATTTTCACGTGGAACGCTTAATGATGAAAAAAGGTTTTGATATGAATAATGTCAGGAGTCTTACTTTCTGTGTCTTTGAAATTTTGGGGAGGATCATCAGCGAAACATAGAATTGGGTGCTCTTTACTCAGGCAGCTGTGACAAAAGGTAAGAAGAACCACATTGTTATTCCTAAACCAGAGATGATAAAATAGGAAGCTATTACTTAAAGTAAACTACTATTAAGTATTTACGTCGAAGCACCAAGTCTTTACTTATAACGCCTGGGAGAAATATATATCTGAACTAATCCGAAGTCAGCACAACAATTACCCACACTGTGTTCGTAACAAAATAGTATCATTATACTGAATATTCATTTATTCTTATGGGACGTTATATCGTCAATGCCTTTTGTACATATATAGTATTCTGTTAGGAAATTAAGTTGGTATTATTTTCCTCATTTTATAGGTTAGAAAACTAGTACAGAGAATATAAATTATACACTTAACCTCAAAGTGAAAAAATTGTCCAAATCATGATATGCAAGTTTCTAAACTGTAAAATTTTAGGTCTGGTGTTTAGAACTTCTTTCAGTCACTAACCTAGGTAAACTTTCAATTAATTGCATTCATGGAACAAAACAGTAATATGGATAAGTAAAAATAATTCTTAAAATTAATTTTCACCAAAATTTTACCCTTATCCATTCTAACCTTTAACCATACTCATGAGCAAAGCACAAAATAATTCATTTTAGCTCCTTTCATTTTCTCTGGCTACCTCAATCGTTGGCAGTCCAGATTATCAAGTGAGATGACCCAAAAACAAACAGCAGAGGAAGGTCTAGGTAATTCATAATTTGCGATAATCACATACCAAATAATCAAAGCTTGCTCATACTTAAAAAGCAAAACAAAAACGATCTGTTCTTCTAGTTTTCTGATTTTTCTTATTTTCTTGTACTATTGTTTTAAAACTCTCAGTTGCAGTTCTCATATATTTTTATCTTAATTAAGATAACTCTACAGTAACACCTTCATTGGAAAATGAACATTTTACTGGAAGCACATGAATAATGAAGATAGCACACATACACCATGTCAGATATTTAGGATCCCTTGCCCTTAACCGTGGAAATGCCTTTTAAATGCCAATATTTAGAGTAAAAACTAGACAGAAAAAGGAAGGAAGAAAATAGAAAAAATTCCTTTGTCTGCTTGTGTGTTCCAACCTTGGGTTTGGGAAACCATCTCACCACCATATCATCACATACTAGGTGTTCACCGTGTACCAAGTCCTGCTCTAAGATCTATTCATCAATTAATTCCTTTAATTTTCTCAATAACAAGATGAGGTTGGTGCTATAATCATCCCCATTTTACAGATAAAGAAACTGAGGAAAATGGCCTGATATTACAAGCACCTTAACACCACTCAAATATTATTTGATTGTAGCTTCTACCTGATCTACTAACTTGAATCTATTTTTAACTCATAATTATTTTAAGCATGCGAACACATGCTTTACTGTGACTGACTTTTCTCTTGCCCTGGCTCCCATGTGAGTTGCTTGCTTAGTTTATAGCTAGAACAAGGACAGCAATAGATCTTACTATTCTTCTAAAGCGCGGCCTGTAGACTTGACTTAAAGTAAGGTCAATAATCTTTCCATTTCTTATGTGGCATTATTTATATAGCTCCCAGAAGGTATTCCTGACCACCATACACCTCCCCAAATGAATCTACCAGACTGCACAAAATTTCAAAATCAGAAATATATTTATATAAATCTGTTTTGCTATTACTGCTATTGTCATAATAGCTAAAATTCATTGAGTGTTAACACGTGACAGGTTAGGTCCATCCCAAAAATCGTACATAGTTAGATCATTTATCCTAAGTAAAGTAAGACATGGCTTCTCTTTCAAAATGTAGATATCCTTGGCAATGGCAGTTTACTAACTAAGCTGCTATTTGTTATTAACCTTGGGTTTAATTTGTTTGCTCAATTTGTATTTTCTTAGTGACATAGAACTAGTATAAAGGAACCTTGAGAATGGAGGTTTTTATTAGTTTGAGGACATAGAAGAAATAAGGATGGAAAAGAAAGAAAAACTACATTTTACCTTTAAAATAGGTGGTAAATATTTATGGGATGTTCAAAGATAATTTTACATCTAGTAAGCTTGAGTTACTCATATAAAGAAAATTGTGCCCTCAAGGAGCTTACATCTAAGAAGGTTTAGACTTTTCCCTACTTATCTTTTTAATAGGATTGCTGCAAAATTCATTCAAACATTTACAAAGTCCTTTGAAATCTTAAATGAAAGAGAGTGCCAAAATAAAATTATCATGGATATCAACATACATAGATCCACCTGCCATAAGCGTGCGTATATGCTCACCTGAGGCCAAGGGATTGCTATTTCATGGCAAGGTCCTGCAAGATGATAAGAACTGAAGCTGAATAGTTTATTCACTTAAAGCAAACCAGAGAAATTCAAGTTATAAATGTATATAGCTCAACTAAAACTGAGCCTACATCTTGTATTTCTTTGAGAGAGAGCATCTATATTAAAACAACAACCAAATAAAGCACCTCTTCACCACTGTATGAAGTAATAATTAGTTCATTGCCTCCTTTGAGAGGAACCAGTCATAGTTCCCGTATCACTTCCTGAAGCATTTCTTGAGAAAACTCTCATATCTCCAACAGCAAAAGATAAGGAGTCTCTGATATTTTAAAGAACAATTAAGTTTTATAAGTGTTGCCAACCATTAACAGTTAATATTTTTGCTGGTAATTGTATAACAGGACCCTAAATAAATAAAAATTTCCAAACAAGAAAACCAAATATACAAAGCCTGCATTTCCAAAACTTCAACTCTTATCTGTATGTCATCCCAATATAGAGATCCCTGATAGAAGTCACCTGAGATATCCCACAGGTTTAAATTGCTAACGTCTTGCCTCACCCCTGTGAGATCCCGTCTCTGCCCACCCAAACTCCGGGTCTGGATGTCCTCCTGGAACCTAGCTGGGCTTTTGGTTTCAGCACAGCTGAAATGGAACATGGAAGAGGGTCACAAGTCAGGGATGCATTTGAAGTTCTGTTTTCACCTATTGAAGAGTCACCAGATCATTCTCAAAAAATATAGTTTTTAAATTTTGAGTTATCTACCTCACGACCTCCACAAATAAGCCATCTTCTCCAAAAACCATATTCCTGCATCATTACATTTAATGAAACATAAGTGTAAAATTCACCTTGAGTTACTCTGAAGCACTGAATTCAATGCAGTTTTAAGTGGGAACAAACTACTGTCATGTATGGGTCTTATGGGGAATCATTTCTGGGTTCAGGAGAACAGTTTGTGTTAGATATGAAAGTAAAGAAGGTGTCCTGCAGAGCTGGCTGTACTGAGCATTAACTATTCATTCCTTAAAATTGTTCTGAGAGGCCAAATATGGATAATCAAGTTAAGCACCAAATGGTGACTGATGTTGCTTTGCTTCTTTTCTTCAGGCTTAGGGCATGTGTTGAGAATTTTTCTTCCTGTTACTCGTTAATTTAGCCATCAGCTTTCTCTCAAGATCATATTGGCCTCAGAAGTTCATAGAACTCTAGCAAGGAGTATACAACTGTATAGTAAAGTAAGACTTGTACCTTAATTAGGTGTAATGAACTTATACCAAAGGAAAAAGGGAGTGGAAGACAAATGATCTCTCATTGCACAATTAATATAAAAAATATGGTGAGTTACTAAAAGAATTTTACTTTTCAAAAGTATAATGAAAACTGGTAAGAAGAGCCTAGAGCATTTAAAACATTACATAAAAGGATGACTGTTCATTCACTTCTTAGTTCATTTGATAATTTTGCCCTGTGAAATAATGTTGTTATTAGCTGTTCTTACATTGGACCCTGATTCATGGTGACCCCATGCACAACGGAACCCACCGGCAAACCGGTGGTGGCTGTGCATGAGATATATGGACTGGGAATCAAACCCGGATGTCCCGCATGGAAGGCAAGAATTCTACCACTGAACTACCAATGCCTTCTGTGAAACAATGTTTTGGAAAAAGAAATTTTCAAAAAAGAATCCCAGGTCAGATTTGGGGCCTCTTTCTCGTTATTCTTAGAGTGGGGTTATTTCAGATGGTAAAGCCTTCATTTGTAATTAACGGATATTTGTGGGCTCAATTTCTTCATCCTCTTTATCAACCTTTTATTTTTGCCAATTTGAAAAATTCCAGTGGCCCTGCCTTCCTTCCATGCACAATTGCTTTCATGCTGATCAGTGTCATTATCATTCGAAAGTACAATTAGCACTTTCTGACCGGTCATGGCCTAAAAGGGGGCATGCATACCAGTCAGTTTGTTGGTTGAAGTTTATTATAAATCATTTATATGCATTGCCAGTTTTCAAAGCAATAGAATACCATAAAATCAATATTTTATTGACACTCAGCGTAAGCTGAGACTTATTTCTAGTCTTAGCTCTAAAAAATTAACCGTGTACTCATAGAAGCTGCATAGTTTCTCTAAGCTTCAATTTACAGTTTTTCAACAAAATAGAAATAAAAATATCTGTCCTTCCCAGCCCAAAGGTTGCTCTGATGATAGAATGAGATATTCTGTGAGCAGACAGTGCCTGCTATGATGTCCTAAATGTCATGTATGTGTGTGGTGCAATGAGTTTCTTTATATATGGCCTTTCTGGCCTTGGGTTTATGATTTTGCCGAAATGATTGGCTAGGCCACAGTCTTGCAAGGGATTGGTTAGTACGCTATGCAAATAGAATACATAAAACCACATAATAGGATTAAGTGACCTTGTGGAAATTGATCAATTACTATGCAAA